ATTAAAAAATCTCCACATTTTCATTCCAATCTGAGTGGATGCATGTTAGGGATGAAAGCATCATTGTTTACTAAGGTATGTAGTATTATCCCAGGAAAGAGAGGCAGCAGCAACTGATATCTGACATTTTATGGATCCATTTAATCTTTCACCTCCAAATACCATCTCACTTCCCTCTTCAGAAGTCATTCAAAGGATCCCGGAGGTAGCAGGACTCTGAAAGGTGGCTGTTTTTGTGATGTACTTAGAACAGCAGGGAGAGTATGCTCATTTGCAGAGGTGGGTATTGGGGAGCATATTAGCAAACAGGAACGAACAAGGGCTTTGTGTATCTAAGATTGAAAGTGTATTAGCTTCCTACTGCTAATGTAAGTAAGACAACACAAAAACATGGGTTAAAACAATACAACTATCTTGCAGTTTTGGGGGCTGGAAGTCTGAAATGGGTCTTCGTGGGCTAAAATCAAGGTGTTGACAGGGCTGCTTTCTTCTCTGGGAAGTCTAGGGAAGCATTCATTTCCTTGCTTTTTTCAGCTTATAGAAGTTTCTGGCATTCCTTGTGACCTCCCTCCATCCTCAAAGCTGGCAATGGCCATTACAGTCTTTCCCATAAGGCATCACTCTGACACTCACTCTTCTGCTTCCCTTCTCCACATTTAAGGACACGTGATTACATCAGACACATGCAGACGATCCATTTATTTCAGGGTTAGCTCTTTAGTAACCTGGATTCTACCTGCAACCTTAATTCACCTTTTTTGCATAATATATTTTAGGGCTTAGGACACAGACATTTTTTTGGGATCACTGTTCTACCTTCTATAGAAAGCTAGAGGGCATCAGTGTTTCTTACGTAATAGAATTTTCTGGATTAGATGATGGAATGCTGACTCTAGCTGCACACTGTTTTCAATGAGTTGGGAAGGGCTGCATTTATGCAGAGAGTGCCAGGCTACATCATTGAGCATCTGTATGATTTTGGACAAATCCTTTAATACTTCTTGGCTTGAATCTCCCCCTTTGTAAACTAATAAGTACCCATAAGGTCATCCACAGAATTAAAAAAGTACACAAGAGAGAACCCCTAGCTCAGCATCTGGTAGAAAGTAAATTCTCAGTAGTGCTAGTTGGTGCTGGGAAATTACCACACCTAACATTTATTATAAAGATATAGATAAGAACTATTATCTATTTTCCAGGAGTACAAAGCGAAGGCATGAGGAATAAGTTGCTGAATGTTTTAAGAGCTTTGTAAAATTGGAAAATAAAATGAAATTTCCGAATTATAATTTCTGCAAAGATTAAATAATTAAAGCAAAATTTTATTTGAAAATAATTTCAAACTTAATAAAACAATTGTGAGAATAAGAATGCTACAAACAACACCCACATATCCTTTACTCAGATTCATCTATTAACTTTACCACATTTGCTTTATCATCTTATTTATCTACTTACCTTTCTTTATCTATTTCCATCTATATGTATGTATGTGTGTGTACCCATTTGTACACTTTTTTTTTCTGAATCGAGATGAAATTTCATTTACCATGGTCTTTACCTCTAAAGCCTGCAGTCTTTCCTAAGAATAAGGGTATTCTCTTATAAGACTACAGCAAGGGTCTGTGAAACTTTTCTGTAAAGGGCTGGATAGTACTACTATCTTAGGTTTGTGGATCACATATGGTCTCTGTTACACCTTCCTGTTTGTTCTCTATACAATCCTTTAAAAATGTAAAACTATTCTTAGCCCAGAGACCATGGTTTGTCTACCCTGGATCATAGTATAATTACCCACCTCAGTATGTTTTCCATTGACACACGACTCTTACCTACTGTTATCTAACCCACTGGCCACGTTTCCACACTGTGAATCGGCAATGTCCTCGGCAGCACTTCCCTGTCTCTTTCAGAATTGAGTGTAGGGTCAGGCTTTGGCCTTGGGTGTCATGACTCTTCAGTATTTGAAATTAGATTCCACCTGCAACCTTAATTCGCCTTTATCACATAATATATTCTGGACCATCTCTTTAGCCTTTCTTTGTCTTTTATGATATTGGCATAATTAGGGAATAGATTTCCTTTTCTTTTTTAGTAGAATATTCCTAGTTTGGGGTTGTCTAATGCTAAAATTCAGCATTCTGATGCAAATACTCTATAAATGATGTTGAGTTCTTCTCAGGGTATCATATCTGAAGACATGCTACGTCGTTTGCTTTCATTGATGATGTCAATTCTTATCAGCTGTCCAGATGTTGTTTGACTTCTTATGTAGTTACAGTGCTTTTCTATGGATGATTTCACTAGAATTCATTCTGAGATTGGAATATGAAATAGCTGCATAGGATGGCATAGGCTGGACCAGGAGAGCAGGTTGAACTGGTCTGTGTCTCTGGAACAATTACTGAGCAGTTGAAACTAATGAAAGATTCAGTCTGTGGCTCAACAGCGTCAGTTTCTTTGAATATTTAAGATGAAGTTGTTTTGTAGGGCTCTGCTTAGAAATGTTCTCATTGTATTTCTGATTTCTGCTAATCATTTGTATTTCATATTTGTGTTTGAATAAGAATGTGGAAATAGTCTGCATTGATGTGTTCATGTTGCTGGCATCTACTCCATATACTCATGTATAAAGCAGGTATTTTTGTTCATTGTTTGTGGGACTGAAATGCAGGTGATGATTATCCCTTCTCTTTGTATTTCAGCCTCGATCAGTAGGAAAACAATCACTTCGAGCCATGCCCTACCCCACATCCCTCAAAAGAGGGATTGTTACCATGGTGGATCAGGACCCGACATTCCTTGGCCATGTCTGCCATGGGAAACAATGTCTCAAGAAGCAGTAGCCAAACCCTATTTCACTTCTTAACCTATGTGCTGCAGGCTCTCAAGTTTCTTGTCTCCATGCAAACCAAGAACAGCTCTTTTTCCAACTTGTCACATTTTGGCTTCTTTGACAGTGACTGGGTGGGTAAAGTAGTTGGGTAAAAGGACTCAGGGTCTACCAAGTCATTCATTTTAGATTCAACAGAGGAGGAAGTAAGAAGTCCCACTTGGCTGTCCAGCTTCTGCCCCAGCAATGGTAGCCAGAGAATCTGTGTTAGTAATCTATTGCTGTGTAACAAACCAAATATGTGTAATCTATAGATTCTGCAGTTCAGGAATTTGGGAGCCTTAGGTGGGTGTTTTTGCTCCTGGAACTCATGAAGCTGAAGCCAAGGTGCTGGCTGGGGCCACAGTAATTTGAATGAAGGCAGAGGATCAGTCAAGATGTCCCGTTACATGGTTGCTGGGAAGAGGCCCCACTTCTTCTGCATAGGCTGCCTACATGCCCTCATTAGTGATCCAAAAGAGGAGAGGCAGACAGCATAATGTCTCTAACACTTAACCTAAAGAATGGCAAATCACCACTTCCAATGTATTAATTGATTACTTAAACTAATTCTGAGAAAATGTAGGAGAGGAATGTACAGGGCATCATTGGTGGCCATCTTGGAGAATCACTACCCTAAAAGTCTTAAACTGGAGAGCAGGAAATTCTAGGTTAGTGATTAATAAAGCTTTTACTTAGTCTCCTAGTTGGGTATCTATGCATGTCTGTCTGTCTGTCTATCTATCTATCTATCTATCTATCTATCTATCTATCTATCTACCTACCTATCTATGTATCTTTCTATCTATCCACCCATCTATCTGTCATCTGTATAGAACCTCCATGGGAAGAATAGTGAATGGTCTAGTAATTTGGGCCTGAACACTTACAAATGCAGGATAGAAAAGGTAGAATGTAATTGCTTTGGGGACAGCTGATGTTTACAATCTATAAGTAGATTGTATTTTCTGTCTGATGCTATTGAAAGCTTTAACTTAAAGGATAAATCTTTATTTTCATCACCACTAGACATGGGGGAGGGATGCTAAATGCTTTTTTCATCCAGCAAAGTCAAATTCATCCAGAGAACAGCATGGAGTAAAGTAGAACTGTCCAGGCACCTTTAGTTACTTCTTGAAGTCCATACCTTTTAGCTTGTGTATATGTCTTACTCAAAGAACAGAGGAGAATGCCAAAGAAGAAGAACAGGGAAAAGTAGAGAGGAAGGGAAAGCAGGAGACAAAGGTGGTGAGAAGGAAGAGAGAGAAAACAAGTTGGTGCACATGTGCATACACACGTGTGTGCAATACACACATACAGGAAGAAGGAAGCATCCCGATGAGAGTAATGATGAATTAGAATCAGAAACTTTGAACTAGAAGGAGCCTTACACATCATATAGTTTAACACCATCATTTTACAGGTAAGAAAACTGAGTACAAGAATGATTAGAGGATTTACACAAGCTGTTGCAACAAGTCAGGGACAGAGCTGGATGAGAGACCTCAGGTGTCCACCACCACTGACTTCTAAGTATTTCCTAATACTTCCCATGCTGCCCCATCAAATTTTGAAGAACAAGTAGCCTTTTGCCTTCTCCTCATCACTCAACCACACAACTTGGAGTCTGAATGGGCATTTCAGTGAAGGTGAACAGATGATTTGGGTGTGTGTTGGAAGGTGTCTGAGCAGGCAGTTGGTGGGGAATAATGAATGGAGGCATTACGCTTAGGAAGAAGCATTTTTTATGTAACTACAACATAAAACTTCAACAAGCTTTTGAATGTTCCCAAGGCAGAGTTATCAGAAAGGAAGCATTATGACACTTGTGATAATTAAATGGCAGTTCTAAGAGATCAGTCATCTCTTTAGAAGCCACAATGAGAGACCACTAATACCAGTGACACTAATGTGTTTGGGTTACACTTAGCAATCTGTGTGTTTAATTTACGTTAACCATTCTGAGTCAGCAGAGGTTAACAAGCCAGTAGTGAATATAAACATAAACTGTGTTTCATTAGGGCAAGTTCCCAATTTGAAGAGCAAGGACAGAGCCCCATCAATAATCTTTACTTTATTCTAGAAGCAAGTGGTATGGTGCATGCTGGAGAAATACAATAATACTCACTGTTGTGTTTGAAGATCCTAATAGTTGCACCTGAAAGCCGGGTCCCAAGCACAAGAGATGCATGGTTTAGTTCATCACTTAAGATGAGGCATCCCTGTTCACGAAAGCACACAAAACACAGACCAATAAATAAAATTAAGGAAAAACAGCATATGGAAACAGGAAGGCACTTCATGATCTATAGCACAGATTCCCCAAACCCTCTTTAATTTTAAAAGCCAAGAGTTTAATCTGATATCTATATGGATAAAATCCTGTAGAGCAATTCATTGATGGAGATATGGATTTCTTTAAGGGATTACATCTTTAGTCATTTGCATATAGTTTTCAGCAGAGAAGGTCATTCAAGACCTTAAGTAAGTACCAGTTAGCATCTTCTAAATGACTGATGTTTGATAGGAAAATGGATACACTTTTGGGTTGGTTGTGGACTTGCTAGGGCTCTTCAGCTCCATACTGGATTATTTGGAACTGTTCTGGTGTACTTCTGGAAGACAGGGGTCTTTCTGCAGGACATTGCAAGCCTGTGCTTTCTGATTCTCATTCCCCTCTGTATTGACATCCTTGTAGGCAGAAGCATTACTGCTTTAAAGTTAGAAACTTGGCATTTGGAAAAAAAGTAGGAATGGCAATTCAGTCTGAGGGAAGTAGAAAAGGTCAATTTGATTGGCTGATTGTAAATGATGTTTGTAAAATTATTTTTCCTTTTTTTATTTAAAAATTTCTAAATTATGAGATTGCCCAAGCATACCAAAAATGCAGAAAGTGTGGTGGCCATTTGTCTTTCATGGCCACCCAGAATCTTTGAGTTCTTCTTTGTATTTTGGAAACTTCACACATGACATGTTTGAAGTTTTTGAGGCAAAAGCCAGTGAAATTCCCATATCTCCATACTCTAGACATGTGTTTGTGTATATTTACCATTTTTTTCATGAGTGTTTGAGAGTCACTTATAAACCTTGTGGTATCTCACCTCTAAATTATTAAGCATATGAAGAGCAAGGATATTATCTTACAAAATCATAGTGCAGTTGTCACATCCAAGAATTTCAACACTTACATAATACTCTCATGTAAGATACAGTTCAAGTTCATAGTTCCCCAACTGTCCTAATAATGTCATACAAGTGTTTTTTATAGATGTTTTCTTTCCTTCTATTTTTTAAATGCAGAATCCAATCAAAGAGCATACATTGCATTTAGCTGTCATCAGATTTTTCTAAACATAAATCTGATTATGGTACTAGCTTACCTAAAGTTAACCAACCAACTCCGTATTTTTCTCAGGAAGACTTTCAAACACTCTAGCATGATTTACACTATCAGGCTCTTAGCAGTTTGGTGCCTGCCTATGTCTCTGATCTCTTCATCCACTAACTCTATATTTCAGTTCTTCCAAACCTCAGTGCCTTACATACGCTGCTCCCCCTGCCTTATCTTAAGGAAGTTAACATTGACCTCAACAGATAAGTAACAGATTCAATTCTCATGTCACCCACTTTGCAAAGGCATCCTAACCTTTCTCAGGAAGGGCTTGGGGGCATCTCATCTCTTTTGTCCTTCCTCATGTAGGTGCATGCCTTTTCTATAGTATTCATCCTATTTAATTCAGTGTATGGTTTTCCCCACTAGACTGAAACTACATAAATTGTTCATCTTTGTATGCCCTATATCTTGCCTTCTTTGAGGACATAGTAGTGATTTATTGAATTAATAAATGAATGAATGACACGAACAAAATACTTTGCTCAAATAAATGCTCAGTGTTTGCTACATTGTAATGGGAACTTGGGTACCTAAAAACTTAATTGATTTTGCTAAATCATCCTCAAAGATGCAATTGACCCATATCTAGGGCTTTATTTCCATAGCTAGAATGTCATGATGAAGAGATTTGACAGACTAAGCTGGTACATTTATATTCAAAAGGCTGGACATCCAATCAGCATTTTCTGAAAGAAAAAAAAAAAGGATCTTCTCAGCTATACTTCTACTCTAACAAAGGATCTTCCCTGAGCTATAATTCCCAGGAATACTACAGCAGAAGATAATTATGTTAACAATTCTCACCTTTCCAACGAGTGCAGGGATATTCATGGAGTTAGTTGCGAATCCCATCCCAAAGACCATAGCTGCTTCTACATTCAGGAACTTAGCCACAAGGCTCTCCAACTCTTTATGCTTATCCAAGGTTCCTGCACATGAAATGATAGGATGAGTGGGTCTTCTCAACAAGTTCAGGATTGAAGACTCAAATGCCAGTTCACACCCACCACCAAAAGGCATGTATAAGAGCATGCATGGCAGCTGTACCTATGAAAGCTGTGGGATCTTAAGAAACAACCCAAATGTCCATCTACTGTAGGACAGGTAACATGTTGTGGGGCACTTATCCTGTGGTATTCCACACAGCAATGAGAAAGAACAAACTACTGCTCTACACAACAAAATGAAAAACATCTCACAAATGTGTGGTTGAGTGAAAGAAGTCAGACCTTCACACAGGCTGTAGGAGACCATTTACACATAGAAACTTTACAAACAGACAAAATTAACCTAGTGTTCAATGTTAGGATAGTGGTTAGTTTTTTTGGGAACATGAGGAAAGCTTTGAGTTCTGTAAATATTTTGTTTCTAGGCACTGGTTACATGGGTATGTTTGTTTGTGAAAATCCCCTGAGCTGTATGCTTATGACTGGTACAAATTTATATATAAATAATTTATAATGCAATAAAATGTACAAAAGATAACACAATTTCTCTCTTTTCTCACCCCACATTTCACAATTAATTAAAAGCTCATTCAGAGGTTCCCACATTTAAATGTGAAAAGATCCCATGGCTTTCATAGATACTAGTAAACTTAGTTATCATATATTGAACCTTTGAAATGTGCTGGATTCCAAAGCCAACTATTCAGGTTATCTCATCTCATGTTAAGAGCCAAATAATGCAGGTGACATTATTTTACAGATAAGAAAGCTGAAGTGTAAAGAGGTCACAGATAAAATGCAACAGAAATAATCTAGTCTAACTCCAAAGTTCATGTTTTTACCACTCTATGGCCTTTTCTGTGCTTACCCTCTGACCTGCTTCTCATATATATAACCCCTCATGCCTTACTGGAAGTAAATGTTTGTGATCCCCATAGTTTTCTGTTTGCCATCGCTCTAACTGCTAGATCTGCCCTTATCATGGTAACTGAAAGGAAAGGAGCGACACATAGCAGCAATTCACCGGAGAGTTCCGCTTTATTAGGGAAAGGTGCTGGGTTATATAGGAAGGGGCATGAATTGATTGAGGTGTCACTTCTACGGGGCTGGTGGCTGTTGGCTAGGTGCTGGGATTGGGAGGGGGGCGAGAGGTGACTGGGCTTCAGGTGGCGCTGGCGGGAACTGAGGACCCCGAAGAGAAGTCGGAAGTTTGCCATCTTACTGGTGGGGACCCTTCAGTAACCATTAGTGATACATGGTTGATGCAATGGAGGAACTGAGTTTCAGAATTTAATTAATTTTATTTAATTTAAATTTTAAAACTGAAGCACTATAAAATAATTTCCACCAAGCACAACCTCATTATTTTGGCAGGATCATACTCTACTCACGTCCCTCCTGAGCTGAGATGTGCTGTAAGGGTAAAATGTACACCACAATGTAAAACAGCAATAAAGTAATGTATTTTTTTATATTGATCACACACATTTAAATGAGAATATTTTATATATTATCAAACAAAATTTATTATGAAAGTTACACTTATTATTTATTAACTTATTTTAATGTGGCCCCTTGAAAATTTTAAATTACAGTGTCTTGCATGATATTTTTATTGGAAAGTATACTTAACAGAACAGAAAAATGTGTAAGTGGAGGGATGCTTTAATTTGTATCCATTGAACACAGGAGAGGATTTAACTCAGATTTAAGTTAAAGGAAGATTGTCCTTGTCTCCATATTGGGTATCCAGATAGTGGCCCTCTTCTGGAGTTCCAGTGGTCAGGTGGAAATTACTTACAAGAGTAATTTTCAAATATAACAACTTGTATTCCCTGATTTCTCACAGCTGGGTTATGAGCTGTGAGTGGTTCTGCATTTAGGGGCTTAACTTAATTTGTAGAAAACATAGTCCTCACTTGTAACCCCCATTATATAAAATAATGCAATTTCTCTGTTGAGTTCATAAGTCAAATTTCATAAGCCAAGGTGAGAGATTCCTAGGATGGCTGGACATTTTCTACCTAAGGAAGCCATGATTTTCAAAGTTAGACTGGGCTGGTCTGGGGTGGGGTGGGGTTTGTTAAGGAAAAATAAAAAGTATGGCTTGTTTGCATCAAGTGCCACTTTCCTCCTCCTGCTTTTGACTTTGGAGAAATAAAAATGAAGGAAGACCTCGGGGAAATGAAGTTACTGGAAACCAAACTAGCTTGCTTTCTGCAGATTTTCAGGCCAGACTGCGCCTGAGCAGAGATGCCTGAGTCATACCACGTTGCAATTGATGGTCTGTTCTTGAATAGTTCCAGTGATTATACTCAGCATTTGTCTTCGCTATATAAATATGGGCATTTTCTTAATCAGAAGAAAGCATGGCTTTAGTCTTAATGGAGGGTGCAAATAAATCCACAATCATTTTTAGTTCTCTTTCTCTCTATGACTTCAGTCTTTTCCCTAGTCTCTGTAGGTCAATAACAGCCGCCAATTGGCTAGTGGACAATGAATCTCCGAATTGCTGTATTTTGCATATATTGACATGTTCTCATTCTGAAGGTTTATTTATTCGGTGGGATACTGAAAACATGCTTTGTAAATAAAAGAATAAATACAAGCTGGACGTATTTTATTCTTTCAGCAGGATTTTCCTGTGCCAAGCTATTGGGGTTTCCACAGTCAGTCACATCAATAAAAATCATATTTGGGGTAAAGTACCAATATGTGTTTATGGACTGTATACTTCTACTGTATTTTGTATTAACATAAACTGGCTCATACTGTTCAGTCAGAATATAAAGATTACTGGCCTTCATATTGACACTGATTAATAGTAATACCTCCTTTCTTCCTTTTTATCTCTATACATATGACATATATAATTTATATCAAGTATAAACATACATATATGTGTAATTTTTTGTGAACTATGTAATAAATTTCAATCATCCTACCCCATTTAGCCCTGAATTTTTCAATGTGTATTTCCCCAAAGTAAGGAATATTTTTATGTAACCACAGTAGTATTAAAATTACTGCAATACCGTTACCTACTCTACAGAGCTAGTTCATATTTGATTCTCTCACTTTTAAAACCCACCTCTAAAATCAAGAGGTGGGAGGAATAAGTGGATTGAAGCAACTTAGAAGTGTCCACTAATGTACATGATTATTTAATTTAATCATCATACCTAAACACACACACACATGCTCTCTCTCTCTCTCTCTCAGCTATACGATAGGCACCCTAGTCTTTATTTTATCAATGAGGAAATACAGAAGTGATGTTAGAGGAGCTAATAAGTGCAGGTAGACTGATATAGATGGTCTCTGGTGTTCTACCATTGTGCAAAGAGGTCTTCAGTGGGACGTGGGAACTGGTGTCTAGTCTTTACTTCTCAACCTACTGATTGCATCAACATTGATGGGCAGGCTTCATGTATCTCATCTCATGGTGTTTGTGTGGGTAGAGGGTCAGTGATAGATGATCTATCTACATATTCTGAAATTCTATGAATTTCAGCTTTGTTCAATCATCCCAGGTATGATTTTGCTAGCAAGTATTATACAAAACTTATTAGCCTATCTTGTTGAATTGTTTCGCTTGCTTCACTTTGTTGAACACACAGGACCAAATTCTAAGTTTGCAGAAATATCCCTGCTAGTTGAAATGTGGCTGTACTATAATTTCTATCACTGTCAAGAGAAGGGCAATTACCTTGTCAGAACTATGACAGGTATTAGGAAATTGCTGAAAGGCTTTCAGAAACTAAGAATACTTTCATTTTCCTGCTCCCAAACAATTCCTCTGAGGACTCCCCTTCCCTTTTAAATACTCTTTCCCGAAAATAAAGAAGCCTGAGAGAAATGCAATGAAATCTTATTAATCAGAATTTATGATAATTTGGTCTGAGATGAACTGGCACTATTTATGAAGACAGATTTTGTTGTGTAAATTAAAGTAAAACGAATGGAGGTGGGGATGTTTGTTGCCTATTTAATTGAATCCACTGTTTATAGCATTGATTTGCATAAAATCATGATAATTAAAATTATATATATATATTTTTAAAGAAAGTAAGATCTCTACTTGGTAACAGTTACATAGAAACTATTTGATACCCTAAGAGCTTGAAGGCCATATGCTGATATTTATATGACATATATTTTAATTTAGACATTTTGCAAATTCAGGCTGGCCCCTTCTTCAATGGGTTAAGTTAGTGAGACTGCATGTTTCCCTGGGTCTATATACAAAGGCTTAAGAAGTAACAGAAGAGCCTTAAAAATTTGAATTAAATGATATCAGAGAACTTGTCAGGAAGATAAAAAGGGAGATAAATGTCCTATATAATGATTAAGGACAATATTCTCTAACAGAGAAATAGAAATTGCATCAAATTTGTACGTTGCAACTAGCATGAAAATAACATCTGAAACTTGAGATTGGAGAATTTCCTATTATATCCAGTAGCATTGATTCCTAAGTCATATGTCCCTTCTGAGGTTTTTAAGATGAAATATTTGAAGACCACTTCTAGAAATTGAAATTGAAATTTTTTTTTCACTTAAAAAAAATTTTTTTATCATTAATCTACAATTACATGAAGAACATTATGTTTACTAGGCTCCCCCCTTCACCAAGTACCCCTCCACACCCCATTACAGTCACTGTCCATCAGCCTAGTAAGATGCTGTAGAATCACTACTTGTCTTCTCTGTGTTGCACAGCCCTCCCCGTGCCCCCCACCTCACATTATACATGCTAATCGTAATGCTCCCTTTCTTTTTCCCTGCCCTTATCCCTCCCTTCCCACCCATCCTCACCAGTCCCTTTCACTTTGGTAACTGTTAGTCCATTCCTGGGTTCTGTGATTCAGCTGCTGTTTTGTTCCTTCAGTTTTTCTTTGATTTTATACTCCATATATGAGTGAAATCATTTGATACTTGTCTTTCTCCATGTGGCTTATTTCACCAAGCATAATACCCTC